GAGTATCTTTTCTTGATTATTATGTGCTGAGGGGAACTTCTTTTCTGGTACAGTTTATTTAATGTCCTATAAGCTTCTTATACCTTGATAGGCATCTTTATGCTAGGAAAATTTTCTTCTATGATTTTATTGAAAACATTTTCTGTGTCTCTGACAAGATTTCTTCTTCTTCCATGATTGCTATCATTGCTACATTTGGTCTTCACATGGTGTCCCACATTTTCTGGGTGTTTGCGGCCAGGATATTGTTAGCTTTAACATTTTCTATGACATTATTCATTTTTTTTATTATGTCTTCAATACCTAAGTTTCTCTTTTCTATTGTTTGATGGTAAGACTTGCCTCTAATATTCCTGTTTAAGTTCCTAAATTTTTCATTTCCAGATTTCCCAGTTTGGGTTTCTTTTATTGACCCTATTTCTACTTTCAGGTCATAAACTATTTTATTCATTTCCTTCCACTGTTAGTTTGTGTTTTCATAGGTTTTTTCTTAGGGATTTAATCATTATCTCTTTAAGGACATTTATCATATTCATAAAGAAAAGGAGCTCTTTTCCTCATTCTTCAGCTATGTTGTAATTTTCAGGGCCTACTGTGGTTTGGTGTCTCTAGTGGAGACACATTGTCCTGGCTGTTGTTGATTGTGTTTTTACACTGCCATCGAGGCATCTGGAATGGTTGTAATTCTAGGTACTGATATCTGGTCTTGTCTTTGTTAGATGGATGTCTTGCTCCTTGTTTTTTGTTTCCCTTCCTGGCTCATTGGAGGGTGTCGTAACTGTGTGTTTCCTGGTAGAGATTTTTTCTGGGATGCTGGTAGGTTTAGCCACTGGTAGTTCTGGGTAAAATCAGTGTTTGTAGGTATTGAGAACTGAATGAGAATTGGTTAGGAGGAGGATGCTGAAGGGGTCCACAGGAGGGAGGAAAGCATAGTGTTCCACCAGGATGTTTAGTTCCCAGGATGGTTTCAGAGGGTGGAGAGGCCACAGCAGATAGTCTGTTACAGAGTGGGATAATACTGACTGGGGCAGGAGTGGACATTAAACTCACTCCCCTCCTTAGCATCTATGTTGACATATGGGTCAGTGAAAGATCATAAAACTTCCTTTGTTCAGACCTAATGCTTGGTGCCCTAACTATAAAAGGTGGATTCTGAAACTAACCTTTTACCACAGCCAAACAAACACCACCTCTAGCTGTGGTCTCAGCTAGCTGATAAGCTTTTGTGCCCTGCGGTGTTTTTTTATCATTATTTTTAAGTTTGCTTCCTGGGATACGGTTTCTGGAATAAAGTTTGTTTCTGGTTTATTAGACTTGATGGTGTTCCCATCTTTGCGCGACCCCCCTGGACCCCAACAAACAGTTTTTCCAGCCTGAGTCCTGCTTTTTGATTACTTTAAAATTCCATTCTTTACTGGAAACTATTTTAGGTAATGTATTGTTTTTCCTTTTTAAAATTTGAATTCCTTATTGACTCTCTGGGAGTTTCACATCATGCCCTCCAATTCTGCTTACATCCTGATCCCCCCATATTCTCGCCTATCCCTGTTATGCCCCTGCACAAAAGAAAATAAAACAGTAAGCAAGCAAACAAAAGTTACAACAACAACAATACAAAAATCTCTTTGTTTCTCCTTCTTTCCTGCCTCCCCAGTACCTCTTCATTCCTCCTGGTGGCATTCAGAGCAGTGTACCATACAGTGTGCCCTTTTTCCCATCAGTTCTACTGTCAAATGCTCACAGCAATGAGTCACTGGTCTGGTTCAAGGCCTCTTGGTTTCTGGTACACCACCCTCACTGGATCCTCACCAGAACTGGGATATCCTGTGGTCTTCTCTGAGATGTCTTATGGTGCCCCCCAGTCTTGGAGATCTTGCAGATATTGTTCCACAGGTCCAATCCCTTCAGGAGCTCCAGCAAGTCCTAGATAAGGTAGATGCTAGGGTGAGTCAACCCAAGGCCCAGCTGTGAGCCTGGTCATTCTGAGCCACAGCCTTCACTGCCTCAGGCAAGGGGGCAGAGTCAGTTCTCCTACGTGTGTGCTCTCAGGGTTGGTTCAGCCTCTCACGTAGTGAGGGATGGGTGTTATTGTTCCTTGAAGGTCAGGGCCAAATCTTTTTCTGTAGTGGGTGAGGTAAAGCCAGCTTTCCCAGGGCATTGAAGGGCAGGACTGATTCAGCATGGCCCTCTGATTTAATTTCTCCTGGCTCCTGAGGCCTTTTGAGACGACATCAACACAGACCCCAGTTGCAGCTGGACCATGGACCCAGAAGTGTCACCATAATATATTGTATGAATTTTTAAAATTTTGTTTATGAAGCAACTCTACTAACACCATGCCCTAGTTAATGTATTTGATATTATTTCACATGATGGGTCTCTTTCTGGGTAATCTATCTACTCACTTTGCCTCTGTTGTATTTTTTTTTTCAGGAATAAGATCTAGTTTTGGCACCTGAAGGATTTGCACTTTGCTGGAGAGGTCATAAGGACTTTAAAACAACCCTCTTTATCTGGTTGGATCTGCATAAAGGAAGTATTATCCTTGGGTTTCCGGGAAGCAAAGAGCAGGAAAGGAATCTAAAGGACTGATTAAGATCCTTAATTATGCTTACTCAAGTGCAGCAGCAGGCCCGTGGTTTCTGCCTCCACATGGAAGGGCTGGCATAGGAGAGCCATGGCAGATATCGTGACAGCATAGGTCAACCATGGTAGATACCTTGATAACTCTAAGCCTTTCTGGCCTCTCTTTTGATTTTGAAGAATAGACTGGACGTGGTCTTGTCCTTACAGACATGAATGGTGCACAATGAGAGACCTGTGGCTCATGAACCTGCTTGTTTGGGATTAGCCCTTGTAACAATTCACAATAAGAATGTGGAGAACAGGACAAGGTGTGGTCTTCAGAGAATGAGGAGCTGAGTGCCCCATCCCATCCTTCTGGACCATTCTCTGGAAACACTGTACTCTGGGCATCCTTGGTAAACTGAGTTTGAAACAGAGTGGTATTCACAGAAGTGTCAGGAGTTTCTTGTATTGTTCAGATAACATCAGGATCCTGGCCTCCAAAACAGATGGGAGTTGTGGGGAATTCTCTTTTGGAGAAGGAGGGATTTTCATGAAAGACGGAGAAAAATAACTCACATGCAGTCTTTGTAGGGGCCACAGAAGTGGGTCCATTCCACCCTGACTAAAGAGAGTTCAGGCCTATTCTTGTTCCTTAATGACAAGCAGTTTGACTTAAGGTTTGGCTACTGACAAGGATATCTTGACCTAGGGTGTGGTTACTTGGTGTTTAGGGTATTAAGATGGTAATCACTTTGCTTGTTCTTTGCACCATGATTTAAAAAAAAAAAAAAGTCTTTTGTTTTCTTTCCCTCTTGTCAATTGGGATATTCAAAGATAATAAGAAATAAATGTGGGCACATTCAATATTCACTGGATTGCCCTCCCAGTACTGTCCTGTGTCTCTGTGTTTCTTTTGTATCTGTTTCTTCTGCCCAACACTTTTGATCCACACACCCTACCCTGGAATGTAGGGACAGAGGCTGGACCGTGACAAGTCACCTTTGCTTGACACTGGGTCAAGAACTGATCAGAGGCCAGTCCCGTTCCTCTGGAATCAGCCTAGAGCAGTCAGGATTGGAGAACTTTGTGTCCATTATGTTTTTCTTGGCACTGCAGGCCAGGGCAACTGGCCTCACTGCTCAGTGGGTAAGACATATAAGGAATTTGCATAAGACAGCTGTGCAAAATGGGGCTGGAGGAGCCTTATTTGTGCATAGAGATAGTCCTGAGAATAACCCAGATACTCCATTTGATTTCACACCAGAAAAATATAAGAGGATAGAGGCAATAGTGAAAAACTACCCAGAAGGGCATAAAGCAGCAGCTGTGCTTCCAGTCCTGGATCTAGCCCAAGGCAGAATGGATGGTTGTCCATATCTGCTATGAACAAGGTGGCAGAAGTTTTACATGTACTTCCAATGAGAGTACATGAAGTAGCAACATATTATACAATGTATAATCGAAAGCCAGTTGGAAAGTACCACATTCAGGTCTGCACTACTACACCTTGTATGCTTCGAGGTTCTGACAGAATATTGGAGACCCTTTAAAGAAAGCTTGGAATAAAGGTTGGAGAGACTACACCTGACCAACTCTTCAATGTTAAAGAAGTGGAGTGTTTAGGGGTCTGTGTAAATGCACCAATGGTTCAAATAAATGACAACTACTACGAAGACCTAACACCCAAGGATACTGAAGAGATTGGGAAAGTTCCAAACCCTGGGCCAAGGAGTGGGCATTTCTGTTGTGAGCCAGCTGGAGGCCTCACCTCCTTGACTAAACCACCCAAAGGACCTAGCTTTTGCGTGTAAGCAGGCTTTTAACATATACTCAACTGTAAAAACTGTCACTGGAGAAATAAAACATGAGCCTACCTGAAAGAACTGATCAGAGACCCAAAAGGGAAAGACCAGAGAAGTTTACCTCATACTTGAGCCCTGGGCCATGAAGGATCTGTCAGTCTCCATAAGAGTGTCTTAGGCCCTGGGGACTGGGAAAGAACAACAGAGACAATCTTTCACCTCCAGAGTGAGAATTATGTGGTTTCTTATCCAACCCTGGAAGAAATTACCCATTTTAAAACAGATTTCCCCAATATAGGTTTTCCCAAGTAAGGAGAGGGTCCCCGCCCTTGTCATTTGGGCGTATAAAATGCTGTCAGGGCACTCCTCATCCATAGTTGCCAGGACAGACTGCTGGGGATGCAAAACAAACAAGAGTCTGGTGAGGACCATGGGGGAAAGGCTTTATTTCTCTGAAACCCAGAAGGGAGGAAGCAATATAGGAACAAATTTAGAACCTCCACAGTTAAACTTCAGTACTGTAGTGACCTCGAGATGGAGGGCAGGAGGAGAAGGCAGAATAGCAGGTGGGGCTAGGTCTTCTGAACATGGTTTCCTCCTGCACAGCTTCAAGTGTTCTCACAGCCCAGGTCAACAGCAGCCCCCAGACTGCTGGCTGCTGCCACCACTGCTGCCGCCACAGCAGCCACTGCTGCCCCCGCTGCTGCCACAGCATCCACTGCTGCCCCCGCTGCTGCCACAGCAGCCACTGCTGCCACCACTGCTACAGCATCCAGAGCTGTGACGATGGCGACGGAGAGATCTGCGGGGCCTGTGGTGGCTCAGGCAGCAGCCACCACCCCCAGAGCTGCAGCAGCCCCCGGAGCTTGAACCACAGCAGCCTCCGGAACTGGAACCACAGCAGCCCCCAGAACCCAGACTACAGCAGGAAGACACAGGAGGGCACTTAGGGGGACACTTAGGAGGACACTTTGGGGGACACTTTGGGGTCTGGCACTTGGGAGGGCACTTGGGGGCACACTTGGGAGGGGGCTGGCACTGCTGCTGGCTCTGCTGGCAGGACATCTTGACAGGTGAGTGTTCGGGAGCTGTGGGAGAGTTACAAGTAAGTCAGATCCAAGTTCCAAGACCACCTTGTCTAGAATTGTCTTTTCAGTTTCATTTCTAGTTCCCTCGTCAGTCTTGCAATCAGACACAGGAAGATCGCATATGAGGTATTCACCAGCTTCACCATTTACTAGGTGCTTTGTTTTAGTGTCTCACACCAAACTCCATTTAGAATCAGTTAAGCAACACAGTCTCCAAATATACCCAGAAAGTTGATCATTCGTGTAATGGATTAAGTGAAAATGCTGCGGATCCCGAGGGGCTCAGCTGCAGAAACGCTGTGCTGGGTATCCCCTAGTGGCTGCAGTGGCAGAATGTTGCAAGTCCCCAAGCAGCGGCAGTGAGGAGCAGGTACCGAAAGCAGCCAGTCTCAGGCAGGGATGGTGCAGTCCCCAAGTGGCTGCAGTGGGCCACAAGGGGTCCCACGAGGAGAGACAAACAGATGAGCATGCCACAAGACCACTCTGCAGGTCTCTGAAGGCAGGTGGTCCTGGGCAGGGAGCCACGAGGCAGGCAAGAGACAGACGGATAGGCACGCCATGCAGGGTAAGGTTGGATATGTATCTAGTGGGTTATGGAAAGAAAGGGGAGAAGGGAGAAGAGAAGGAGAGAGAGATGGGGGAGAGACAGAAGCTTCCTCTTAAAGAAGGAGAGAAAGAGGGAGAGACAGTAAAGGAAGGGACTCAGGCTGGAAGCTGAAGAGTGGAGGGGGAGGAAGCATGGTTTGTCTCTTAATGGGACAGGACAGATCATTACATTTAGAATCTCCTGAGTGTCTAGTCAATGAGCTCACTCTGTTACATTGCCCACACTGCTGAAAAAACTCACGACAGTTTAGAGGCGAAAAGCTCTTTCAGAAAAGAACAAAGGCATTCCCTCTGGAGGGATTTCAGAAATACTTGATTTTGCAGAAATGTAGCAAGCTATAAGTGCAAAAGATGTAATGGTCTGTCCTGTCCCTTTAAGAGACAAGCCCCGCCCACTTACCCTCCTTTTCCGCCTAGGCAAGCAGATCTTTCTTCTGCTTCCAGCCTGCAAGCTTGCTCTCTCTCTCTCTCTCTCTCTCTCTCTCTCTCTCTCTCTCTCTCTGTCTGTCTCTCTCTCTGTCTCTCTCTCTCTCTCTCTCTCTCTCTCTCTCTCTCTCTCTCTGTGTGTGTGTGTGTCTCTCTGTCTCTCTCTCTCTCTCTCTCTCTCTCTCTCTCTCTCTCTCTCTCTCTCTCTCTCCTTTCCCCACCAAGTAGTAGATTCTCCTCTCCTCTTTCTCCTCCTCACCCCACCCAGCTTCCTTCTCTTTCCTCCCATAACCTACTGAATAAAGTATACCCAAACCCTCTCTCTGCATGGAGTGCCTATCTGTCTCTGTCACTCATCCACCAGGGCTCCTTGTGGGACCAGCTGACCTGCAGAGGTCTCCCACCCAGCCAGGCTCCCTGCCTGAACCTGCTGCCCCTGCGACCCACTGCACCCCTCAGGGAATGGCCCCACAGCAGTTTACCATTACAAAAGGTCCTTGAGATTGATTTGTAACCTTCAGTTTATACAGGGAGAAACAGAAGAGAAGTGCAGCTGCTGTCCCTGGCTGGTCCCCAGGCAGCCCGTGGAGCCCTTTCCAGACCTGCTGGCTCCTGTACAAGGCTCCCACAGTGTCTTCCTGTTGACTAATCAAGTGGCTCTTTTTTCTTCCCCTAATACCAGGGTCCTCAGTGCATCTTTTCCAAAAATGAACATGACTGACTGACTTTTAAAACTGCATTCCAGTGCCCCCTGCATAATCAAGTGGCCCACGTTCCTCAAAACCAGAGGGACACAGCAAACAACAGAAAATAATTTAGTCTCTTGGAAAATGTAGCACACCTCTCCAAATACTCTCAGATTCTACCTCATTCTCTACTTTGAAATAGCACCCTGCCCCTACTTTTCTCTCATCACAATTCATACTTCTTGCAGCCTGTACAGCCTCGCTCCTGCTCTGACCTGGCCATCCTGGAGAATTACCTGCTCCCGTGCTTGGGACACTTACCGGGGTGACACGCAGCACAGACTCTGTAGACACCTCCAGATGTGAGTGGATGGAAGCATTCTGGTCATGTCTTTTTATCCTGCTCTTAAGCCTATGAGACAGGGCTTGGGCATGGAGGACTGCCTTCCAACGCCCACGTGACTTTGTGACAGGTCCTGACTGGATGTTCCTCATCCACTGCTCTCCACTGGGCTCAGACTGCCTGCTACTATCCAGGAATGTGTTTGCATGGTATGGGAGTGTTTGGACAGAAGAGATGGATGAGCCATCCCAGGAGGCCTCTTCACCCTTCATTCCTAGGTTTCCCTCCACCCTGGCAGTGTGCTAATACTTAAGGATTCTGGTCCTCCCAATTCCTTCTTCCTGTCCATGCTAAATAAAACTAATTTTTCATCTAAACCTCTGATTGTAGTGGCTTTATGTGAAATGCACTTTTGAGGTGAGTGTGCGTGTGTGTGTGTGTGTGTGTGTGTGTGTGTGTGTGTGTGAAGTAATTGTACTACTTGGTGATAATGCTTCTCCCCAAAGCCCATGGACTCCCTAAATAAAAACACCACAGTACCACATATGAGAAATGTTTCCTTGAGTTGTTGGTCAGGGAAGACCAAGAGACCATCCCCCAAAACAATATAGGCTATTACCATTGCCTTTAAGTTGCCTCCCAGAATTTAAAGGTAAGACCCCGTTTCTGAAGGCACAATGAGCTTTGTACACAGTGCTTGGAACAGTCAAGCTGGGGCTCAGCTGGAAGCCTCTTCCCAGAAGAGTGGTTTTAATAGTCTCAAAAGTAAGCTGCCAAGGTAGAGGAACAATCATTTGTCCCACCCAGTGACTAGACTGGCAAGATACCCAGAACGGTGAAATGGCGGTGCTTTTATCTTGTGGGTAAGCAATAACTGTCTAATTGGACACAAGGTCCAGTCAGGGGGAAGGAATTTATGCTCGGGGACATAAATTGCCTGTTTTCTGGAGAAGTCATAGACCCAAGAGGAGACCCTACTTCTGCTAAGCTCCTAAAGCAATATAATTTATGACTGTTTTCTGAATCCTTATCTTATATCTACAGGTAAGTGTCAAAGAAGCTCCATCGTAGAACAGATGAAGACCATTAAAGATTCACAACTGGCAGAAATGCAGAAAACAGGTAACTACAGGCTGCCTATCTCAGCTGATACTTTTGCAGCACAATTGCTAAACCTAAGGCTCGGGGAAACTTGTGGAAGAGAGAGTTGAAAGATTCTAAGAGTCAGAAGCCCTGTGAGTCTATGCATAGATTGAATCTCCTAGAAACGAGAGGGAAAATGCAGCCAGGAGTATTTTCTCAATAATATGATTGCCTGAATAAGAAGACCACCATGATGGCAACACTAGTTGACATGCCAGTGGGGACAAGGGGAGTTTCACTTGGTCACACCCTGAGGTAAAGAGCTTCAGGCGGCCATTGGCCATTGAAAGAAGGAGCATCAGTTGCCTTCAGGGATGACCTCCCTTGTAGGTCTAATCCCATGTGGTCAGTCCTGGATACATGCAGCACACATAAGCAAAGTTAAATGGGTTCAGTAGTGTGTGTGTGTGTGTGTGTGTGTGTGTGTGTGTGTGTGTGTGCGCGCTCACACAAAAGTGATTTAAAAAGAAGCAATCAATTTGAGAGTGAGGAGGCACATAGGAGATGCTGATGGGAGGAAAGGAAATTGAGGAAGTTGTGTAATTATATTTTGATTGTGTAAACACAATTTTAAAGAAAAAAATATTCAAAGCTAGCATCCACACATGAAAAGGACATGTGGCATTTGCTTTTCTGGGTCTGGGTTATCTTATTCAGTATAGTGTTTTCCAGCTCCATCCATTTACCTGTGAATTTCATTATTTTATTTTTTGACAGTTGAATAATATTCAATTGGGTAAATTTAACACATAGTCATTATCCACTTATCAGTTGATAGGCATCTGTGTTTTTTTTTTATTTATTTCTTGGAGATTGTGAAAAGAGCAGCAATGAACATGAATGAGCAAGTTACCTCTGTAGTACAATACACAGCTACTTTGGCTGTATGCTCAAGAGTTATATAACTGGATCATGCTAAATAAGGATAATGAATGTAATCACATATAAAAATCTTCTGTAAAATAAGTATCATTCCATGACAAGTCTGAAGATCCCTTGGCTTAAAAACAAATACCTTCTATAGATCCCGAATGCTGTGACTGTTTGTTTGTATTTAATGGACTTCTGTTTACTTTGTAGAGTCTTTTTATTTTTAATGGCTGGTGATTTGGATGGGGAAGAAGAAAGGCCAAGACTTCAAGATTTGATTTCTTTTGGATTGGGAATGTCCTGGGAAAAAGACCTGAGTTTCTTCCATTCAGTGTATTCAAGGGTAGAAGAGGGTAAATGAAGTCTGTAACTTTCCTCTGCCTCCAGAAGATAGTATCTAAGAATTTGGAAATATGTTTGTTATAGCCACCATCTTTTGAATCAGTGATTCTCCTCAACACTGCAATGCACCAGAAATCCATTCCATAGCAGGGTTATCAGAGGATCATTAGGGCCAGTTTGCATTTCAACAAGGTACTGCTGATATAAGTCTCTGTTATGTGCTGAGATGCCCAATGGTGCTAATGGTAGATGGATAAAATGGTTGACATTGAATGTCTGGGGAACCCAAGAGTAAGCAATGTTAAACAGCTATTCCTGGCAAAAAAAAAAAAAATGTGAGGTTCTGTAGAGGACTTTATGCTCACCTGTCTTACTGTGATTGTTTGTCTTTATGTCTATGTACCAGTGGTCCTTGTGTGTGGCTGTATCTACCTGCGTGTGGCCCACATAGGCTGCCATGTGCTTTTCTAATGGCTTGGGTGCTAGTACATAAAGTATGCCATGTTTGTTTATCTGCCATCTCTTGAAATTTTTTCAGTCTACCAAGCTTCTCTGACCCTC